GTGGAGAACTGGGAATCTAGAAACGGGAGGAAGCAGTTATTTCTTTCTGGCTTGAATCTGTGATGTGCTGGGTTATAGCAATGAAACCTTTTTTTTTGAATCAACATTGTGGCGTGGGAAGAAGTGAACAGTCACTGCTGACCCACTTCTCCAGTCCCCCACCAAACCCTGTGTCATGGGGGAGATTTTCATTGCAGATTAATTGTAGCAGGGAATCTAGAAACGGGAGGAAGCAGTTATTTCTTTCTGGCTTGAATCTGTGATGTGCTGGGTTATAGCAATGAAACCTTTTTTTTTGAATCAACATTGTGGCGTGGGAAGAAGTGAACAGTCACTGCTGACCCACTTCTCCAGTCCCCCACCAAACCCTGTGTCATGGGGGAGATTTTCATTGCAGATTAATTGTAGCAGAAGTTTATGGTTCTGTTACCAGATTAAATTGCAGAAACAGTTATTTAACTTTTTTTAAAATTTATTTATTCCTGATTCCCTGTTGGGTTTTGTGGATTTGAGGTAGTTTGTGTAGGATAAGGTGCAGCTGTCCAAAATACTTGCTCACAGATAGAGCTGTTTGGGGTCGTCCACCAATTTTTGATACTTTTTGCTTTACACAAATGAGGTTGTGAATAGATTTGATGAACCTCATGAGTTTACAGAAGTGTTTCATTTCAGGAACAGTGTTGCTGCTGATTATCTTTGATAATAATTTGGGTGCTTGCCTAGATAACAATTCACTGGTTTGCATAACAAGCTTCTATTTGCATCTCTGATAACTAGAGGATTTTTAATTATGAACATTTCTGCTTACACAAGTTAACATGATTTAAGCTGCTTTGAATGATTCTTGTGGCCTTGGACACTCAGATGTACATTAGATGTACACCTGATTATATTTTTTTTTTTGTTAACAAGAACTTCTAGTAACTTTTTTCATATATCAAAAATTTTGCTACTTTTTATATGCAATGTAAAAGTATGAGCTTCTTTTTGTACTGAGGGGTCTTAGGACAGATGCTACTTTTTATATGCAATGTGAAAGTATGAGCTTTTTGTACTGAGGGGTCTTAGGACAGGTCTGTGCAAGAGAAGTTCACTTTATCAGGTCTGTGGTTATCCAGCTGTTCCAGGTAACCACTCCAACCTTTATGAAATTCAGAAGCTTGCTGAGAATTGTAGACAGTCTTTATTGACTTCATTTATTCCTATGAAAGGATATTACCCTCTCTTTATTAATTTTGAGATGTAGTTTTTACTATAAATTATTTTTGCTTGCAGTACACTGAGAAGTGTTGGGAAGAAGTTTAGTGCAGGTGAAAGGGTACTCCTCCCCTACCCCTGTGATAGGCATGGAAAGCTTATCCCAACAAAGATTCAGTTATTTGGTGTGTTTTTATTAAAGCAAACATAATAATATTCTTGGAGATAAAGCCTTGAATGATACTTAGGACGAGGAAACACACTGAAACACAAACTTACCTGTGATGTAGTATTAAAATAGCGTGGAGGGAGGTAGGGGACTTTCCATCTGAACCCCTTGATGTGGCTCTTGTGGCACAGGTTGCAGGGCTGTCACCTGCATCCTGGGAGCTCATAAACAGGGAGGAGGCTGCAGCCTTAGGTGGTTTGTTGTTGCTGGACTGCAGCTCCTGCCATGTGACTGCACCCAGGGCTGGAGCAGGTGGAGATTGAAGGCTGCTGCACCTTTGGTGGGAGGAAGCTGTGCTATGTGTCCTCTGTGTTTTGATCCCCTGTCACATAGTTCCCCAGGCAATTAGCCTTGCCAGCAGGAAAAAAATTTTCTTTTTCCTTCCCTATGTTTTCCCTGATTCTTAGATTACATTAGTAGTTACAGTGTTGTTTACCAAACTTCACTACTAGTGGTGATGACAGTGCAGATAGTGAAGAACTTGCTGTTTACATTGCACTGTTGACCACTACAGTGTAAACACAGTTGCAATACTTGTGTCCCATCAGTTTGATATTTAATCCCACCCTTGCTTCTCTCATTGACAGTATTTGCAATGTGGGGTGAGCTACCTTGTGTTAGGATGGTGCTCTCAAACCTCCTTACTAAAGCCAGAAAATGTATAAATTGATGTCATCGTAACTTCTTATAATTATTGCACTGGATGTAATATAAGGATTATTTTTTTCAAAACTAATGAAGGTTTTTGTGGCATTTTATCTGACAGGTGAGGAAAGCAGACAGATGCTTTTGGGTGCCCCATGGCTGCAGCTGCCTCAGTTCATTCATTTGTTGCCTGTTGTAATTCAGAAGCATTCTTTAGGTAAGAACCTTGCTTCAAAGGATGTGGTTTATCAACTTAATACACTTGTGTTGAATTTTTAAATGGCATCTCGATGTTTCGTGCTCTCAGTTACAACATTATCTGTATATTCTCTTTGCATGTGTCATTATACACCTACCTTGTGTTGGTTAGACACTGACAGTGCTTGTGCAAATGAATTCTGTGTGCTGTACAGACTGTACTCACAGGAGAACATGTGGTACTTGTAAACTGTGCAATACAGACCAGGGGGAGTGACACATTTCTTCAGGTGCCACCTACGAACAGAGTTACTAATGAATAGCAACTTTCTCATTATAGACATGTGACTATTCAGCTCTTCATTTTTCTGGTGTGTGAGCTGAGAAGCAACATTGCTTGCACAGAGTGTGGTACTTGAGTTTATTTTGTGTAGGAATTGGAGCTGCTCCTCTTGTATTTGTAAATAACACATGTACCACAGCTGTGTTAAACTTTGTCCATAAAGCTACTAACTGGGTAGTTTTTAAAAAGGTGATGGTATGGTTTGGGGGAATCTAAAGCCTCGTGTCCCATCTTTTAAAGAAAATCAAAGTTCAGCATTGGAAGGTTTCTAGAGATGTTATTACTGGTTGAACACAGTATTGGTAAATATTTTCAGTTTCTAAATTCAGATTTTAAAAAATGTGTCATGGTTTAGTGAGGTGTGTGTTGCTGTTCCTGTAGCTTTCCATGAAAACATCTTAAAGTAAAATGGCTAACTGAATGTGGAGATTTTCATACTAAGGTACAGGGTAGTTTTTTCATGTTAGTATATGGGAGGATATTAATATATTATGGGTACTTTTTTCCCAGATACAGTGTAATTAGCCAAAATAGTTAAGATTATCTTGGTGCACTAAGCATACTCTTGGAGCAACAGTGAGTAAAATTTCAAGCCAAGAGTCCTTAAGTTACAAAGTATTAGAAGTCATATCATTATTTTGATTCATGTGGGTTTGGTATAGAGCAAGCTGAAAAAAACACCATTTCTTATCCAGGTTTGTAATTTCTTTAGGTAATATTCAAGAATCCAGATATATATATATGTGTTGCACAAGAGTGCTCATGTGACTAAAACTGTAGATAATGCAAAAACCCTATTTTTGCCAACAATTACATCTTCCCATTAGTTAAATGATATTTTGCAGATAACGTTTGGTAGAACTAACTTGCTCGTCACATTCTGTTGTTCTGCTTCCACATCTGCCCTGCAGAGCTGAGTGTACTGTTCATCTCAGTCTTTGTGCCAAAATTGATTTGAGCCCTTCCTTTGGGTTTCCCAGGCAGTGCAGAACAGTTTTTCTTTGGTTGATGGCTTCGCAGGTCGGTTCAGCTTCTGGGACCCATCCCTGCCTTCTGGTTAAGGAATCCATGCACACACACGGGATGACTCAAGAGTGGGATGGATGTTCAGATCCCACAAAGGTGCTGGTAACTTGACAGGAACCTCCACATTCTTTGGAGGTATGTGTGCCTGTAAACCTCTGTAAACCCCTCATCCAATACTACCTAGATTATATCCCATGGAACTATAGTTAACTCTGGCTGCGTTTAAAGATTTATACTGTGTAGTTTAAGTATTTGGAATGAAATAAGCATTCATATTTTCCACACTAAATATTTGGGCTTCATGTTTGTAAAAACTTTGTGATATATAACCAATAGACCCTTTTGCTGGCTTTGCATCCCAAAGCAAGTGATAGGAATTCATTTTGCTAGATTTAAAGGACTGTAGTATAGAATACTAAACAGAAATTCTGGAGATACCAGTTTTTAAAGGGTGTAGCAACAGGAAGAAGTGTTGTTCCTTCAGTGGGAGCAGAGGTACTACATACACCAGGAGTACTTTGTTACATCTCTTCATAGGTCTAGAGTGGATGTGCTGCTTGTGGTGTCTACTCTGACCTGTGGTTTCACCGTTTTTGGTTGTTCTCAGATACCAGAACTTCTTTGTGATAGCCAGATCACTTGCCATGAAGCTCAAGTAAGCTTCATATAAAATAGCAGAAATTTTCCTTTTTTTCCAGGGTATTGCAGATGTGTGTGAGAATAGCAATAGCAAAAAGAAGCTTCTCAGACAAGAGCATTTGCTTCATTTCATTTTCTGTTCTGGACTTTAGTTTTAGGAAACAGCTAAATTTGTAATTCCTCCCCAGGAGGGAGGAGGCAAAAAAACAACAGGTAGTTGACTCCAAAGGTACTTAGCCTTTGCTAAATTTAGCAAGGCTATGAGCCACTGTAAGAGTGAGTTATGTAATGGTTAATTACTACATCCACCATTTAATGCCTTGGAATGCCCATTCAGTGTGTGACTTAAAGCACTCAAAAGTCATAAAACAGTTGTGTGGATGATAATTTGAAAAACTGGCCTCATAACAAAATGTTTATTCATTCTGAGCTTGCATCTTTATTACATTAGTAACACTATTAACCTAAGCCATGTGTCTATTCAGAGGAGGAAAACACCTGTTACTTAATACAATTTAAAGAGTTGCTAGTTTATCCTTCTGCATATATTGCTGATTCCACTCATTAATGAAACTTTAAATAGACTGAGTGAAGATTTACAACTGTCAAAACAAATTCCTTGGTGGTTAACAGTAATTTGCAAAAAGGTCAAGCAGTAGTGAAGCTGATCCTATGAACAGCTTTTAATTAATTGACTAGGTTGTTCTTTTCCACTTTTCAAAGAATGCATGTGCCTTCTTTTTATAAAAATGGAGTTTCTGTGTCAGACCTCCTCAGTCAAACAGATAAGGTTTTAAAAGCTGGGGGAAATGCCAGGTAAGGTTTTGATAGGATAGTACATATTTTGGCAGCTATTTCCACAGTATTGGGGTTTGGGATTTTTTTCCCCTGGTAATGAAGATACTGTGGAAAATTTTCAGTCTGGAAAAGGCATGCTGTGAGGGTTGCCATGGAAGTTTGTTCAGTAAAAACAGATGATGTGCTCTGTTCTTGAAAAATGCATGGTTGCTTCGAGAATACTTGAGGCTGGTCTGGCTGAACATCTGATCAGTGGGACATTGGAAAAGGGGCCACAGCCTGCTGTAAAATGAAGTGGCATTTGAAACACTTAAAGACAGTTGGTGAGAGCTGACTGAATAACAGAATTCAGTCTAGAATGGTGTGGGGTAGATTGCACTGCTTCAGTCTGAAAACAGAGCTTTTCCTTATTCTGCTCTTTTCTGAGCTCTGCCTGGTGTGGCACACGTCACTCAGTGAAGTAGATCAGTGCAGTTTGTTGTATTCAAAGGTCACTGTCCTTC